ATAATGCAGAAGTACTTGCTCGTTTCAAACAAAAGCTTTCCAGGAAACACAAGAACACACACACACACACATATATATTATATGTATATGTGTGTGCGTGTTGAATGGAAAAGTAAATAGATAAATGAATAAACTAACATATAAACTATATTATATTATATCACACACACACACACACACACACACACACACACACACACACACACATATATATATATATATATATAATATATATATATATATATATATATATATATATATATATATATATATATATATATATATATATATATATATATATATATATATATACGTGCAGTTTCTAGGGTATCAGAAACAGAGGGAGATAAAAAAATCTAAAGCCCCAGTTTCTTTCCTTTTTAGGCCAAAGAATGCATCAGTGTCTTATTTTCTCCCTCTTTCTCTAACTTTCATTTCTAGATGCTTTTGTTCGTGCCAGGATGTCTACTGTACGTATGAGCGAGTGCGTCAGTATATGAATATAAATATGCACTTTCTATGACTTTACATACGGGGCTGCAACTGGCGTAACGATGAAGTATGGAGACAGAGCGCAAGCCATGAAGTATTGGGAACGACCTGCAGCGGCCATCTTAAAACTGGGAACAGACGCTCGTCATATTTCACACTGTTATCGTTTTCTCGCCACTGCTGTTATTTTGCTTGTTACTGTTCGTTTTATTATCATTACCTACGCCAAGGAGGTTATGGTTTTGGTCGCGTTCGTTTGTTTGTTTGTTCATATGTTCATTGGATAGCAGGATATCTCAAAGGTATGAACAGATTTTTATTATTTTTTTAACCTGAGGTGTGTCTTAGCCTAACTTAGATGCGATTAAATTTTGGTGGTGATCCGGAGCATGATCCAGATCCAGGATATTTTTAAATGATTGAATGTTACCCGTATTGTAACTACAACTCGAAAAGTTATGAACAGATTTTTATGATTTTTTTTTGCCAGAGGCGTGTCTTAGCCTGGCTTAGATGCCATTAAATTTTGGTGGTGATCCGGATCTAGGATTTTTGAATGATTGCATGAGTTAACCGTATTGCCTTGCCTCCATGACTCCGCCAAGGAGGTTATATTTATGGATAGTCACGGGTGTACTCGAGAAAGGTGATTTTAATGAATTTCTTCAAGTGAGAATAATTTTATAGCATCAGTGACGCTATTGTTTTTGCGGAGCCATACGCTCTGAGTGCAGTTATCATAACATTATTATTATTATTATTATTACTATCTTTATCATCATTATCAGTATTTTCCTTATTTTTATTGTAATAATCATTATTACTCATCCTTATTATCATTACTATTATCATTATCTTCATGAAAATTGTGATGATCATCGCTATCATCGTCATCTCTATCACTATCAACATCATCAATATACTGTGCCGGATCGTTATCTTTCCTGAACGACAACACCGATATTGATTTTAGCGCAACGAGAGATGATGAAGAGAGCACTGCTTTTGATTTACAGGTAGTAACGTTGTCAGCATCAAGGCCGCCATCAATCCCCACTTAATCAGCTTTTTTCCTGGCGTATGTTTTGCGGACCCGGCGTGAATCACTTGCCACTTGCGTCAACAAAAGGTATCTTGCTTGAGTCCCCGTTTCTGTGTTATATCTACGGATATTGGACAGCTCACTTATTATATCAGATTTTGATTGATATGTCGTACCAAACATTGAAATGAAATTGAGGTAGTCACTTGAAAAAATATATCAGATTAGCGTATTTTTCTTTTTCTTAGGTAACAAGCATTGAAGTAAAATAAAATCAGTCATTATACAAGACAATCATATATCAGCTTTTGATTTCTATCCTGTATCAAGTATTGAAAGAAAATGTGCCCTTTTCACGTCCCGTCTGTGCCCTCTTGATACATCCGGCATCAAGCCTTATCATGACATATGTGACAGCCTTAAGACGACAGGTCCTGCTGCCGCCGTGACATGTAAGCGCCATGTCCGGGTTGGGGGGTTTTTTGCTGGTTTCTTTTTCAGCGACTTACTTCCAATGCTCAGATGAATGAGTCTACGCCATGCACGGCTGACTCCTGGGGGCATTTACCGATAGAAATCGCTGTTTACATTAGTTGGAATTGCTGTTTATTTCGTCTTGTAAGTCATTACGTTTTTCTTTTGAGCTTCAGCATTTCTTAAGCACTAGAACTTTGCTAAATATAGAGCGCACACTAACATTGGTAGAAACTTTCGTATATATTTTTAGAAGATTGACAGTTCTTTAATACTGGAACTTACAATCGACGGGTAAAGCTATATTAAATCGTGAATTCTGCCTAAAATCTCTCATGAAATAAAACTTATTGGGAAAGGATTGGAAACACTCTTGAGGTACGTAGAGTTGATACAATATTCTCATACGAATTACTCCACAGCTCACTGACGAGGGTTCCCTAAAATCTCTCATGAAATAAAACTTATTAAACGAGCACTTGTAATCAGTTTACAATGTTATTTTTCATTCCATTTCCCATGCGTGAATTAGTGGCTTGAGCTGCGTATATGCGAGCGTGCGTGTGGTTGCTCGGGCTTATATAAACAAGCGTGCAAGCAAACAACAGCCCCATTTCCCAAGAATTCCCCGGCCGTGTCGAAAGAAAGTAGGGGTCACTCCCATTGGACCGATGGTGAAACTCAAGAGTGCAAAGCCACTTGACTCTTCGGCACAGTGTTTCTCCTCCTGCTTCAGAGGCTTTGAAGAATCGCTTGACCACTCGTCGGGGGTCGTGTGGCGGCCGTCTTTCGCAGCGCCATAAGCTCGTGTTATGGCCACGGACACGGGAGACTCGGCCTCGCGTTGTTTTCTTTTCCTTTCAGCTTCGTCATATTTTTCTTTTTGCTCTTTTTTCTTCTTCGTTTGCTTCTCACGACATTCTGTCTTCTCGTGCGTTTGTCTATATTTTATCCCGGTTTCTCCGCACTATTTACAGAACAAGAGAGAGAGAGAGAGAGAGAGAGAGAGAGAGAGAGAGAGAGAGAGAGAGAGAGAGAGAGAGAGAGAGAGAGAGAGAGAGAGAGAGATGCCTCCTCTAAGGCATTCACATCTTACCTCAAGCTTGTACAAACCGGAGCAAATGATGAAAATTTCGTCATCGGAAACCTAGTGGGCAATAGTGATTCATAACAGTGATTCATGCGCTACCCATGTCCCCGTCCCTTTCCTTCTCTTGATGTGTCACTGCAACACTTTCCCGCCGGTCGTTCTCATCCGCTCTCTCCAAGCATCAGTTTCTGTGACCGACTTTATCGTCTTTCCAATCTCCGTGAAGCCTTTATAATTCTTCACTGAAAATATTTTTATTTTTTCTTTCTTTTCTTTTTTTTTTTTTTTTTGCTTTCCATGTTATCATCATCTCTTTCTCCTCGCCTCCGCTTTCTCTCCCAGTATTCATTTTCTCTTTCGAACACACCGGACTCGCAATGCCGCCCCAGAGGACCGCTTTCTTTAACTCCCAACCACGTATGCTGTAGTCTTCACTTTCTGCCTTATCCATACGCCCACTTTCACCTTCGATAGCATAGTGTTACGCAATGGCTATGTACACTTTCCCTTTTCATATTCATCGGTTTCATATGTCTATGTTTTTTTTCCACGTAAGATGAATCCTTATCACGTTGCCCATGGTTACCAAGGGAAAAAAAAACGCAGAGATAAACAGACAGGAAATGACGAAGTACTTCCCTTCCACTAAAATGTTCATGACGTCAGCCTCACCTGTGTTTATTGTTGTTGTCTTTATGGCTAAGTTATGGGGTCTTATTTTGAGGTGTTAATATGCCAAGCTATTTACAAAGCTGCAGTTAATATAAGAAACCCATTTATACAATTTAGTCTGTTCCCATTATCTTACTATAAGCAGGTACATTCTATATATATTTCTATATACTTACTATAAGCAGGTACTCCATTGTCTCAGAAACCTTGTGATAAGCCAAGAAATATTTACCCTGAAGTATAAAGTTGTTTTCTGATGTTATTTCCCTATTGATTCACGATTTCTCTTTGGACTTAACCTAAGGGCCACAAAATGCTTATTTTTTTATGAGACTGGTGATACTTTAATATGAAAGTTGCCGTTGTCCCTTAGAATGCTAAGAAAATTCACCTCTTGACCTCCATATCTTATCGTATTATAGTACTTCACGAGCGCAAGTTATAAAGCACTTCTGATTTTTTAATAACATCCACGTCTCAAAGGGATTTTTTACGTCTGTTTATTGCATTTCCTTTTACTGAGATCAAAGGTAGGAAGGTGAGGTAGACCATGTGCCTGCCAAGAGGATCTGAACTGAAGAGCCGAGCGCTGAAACTTTCTCTTTCTCAGCAAAGAAAACGAGCGTGAGAAGAGATCATTTCCAGGAGTAACTCATGTTTGAGGCCTTTTAGAATTTAGATTGTGTAAACAAGATTAAAATTACTCACATAATTTAGGAAAAATTATAGAAACGCGTTTTTATGAATATCAACACGCAAAGATTGACAAATGGATAACGACGTCGAATCTGTCCACGAAAATTATAAGTACATTATTTCAGGTTTATGTTATAATGAATAGTTCACAGAGTTGTGTCAGAATCAGTCCAACTTTCTGTATAAGCTGCCCAGTTCCTAAACCCTGAAGAGTAACGCCCGTATAATACCAGACTTCAAAAGGCGAAGATTTGCATAGCTAGAGCTAGCAATGCAAATCGAGAAAGCAGAAGGAAGGAAAGACCGTTCGTTCTGAGTTTTAGTTTAATATTGTCCTATCCTTGATCACTCAACCTTTTGCCGTTCAGATTTGCAAGAGGAATCGCTCCTCCCTGAAGTATGTGGCGGTTTAAAAACAAACAAACAAACAAAAAACAGGACACAATGTAGCTGTGTACATGTAAACACTGACGCAGTTCATATACTTCAGAATAAATCGGAGGAAACCTTCCCTGAGTGTGGTATTTGTAGCACATGTACTGTGAGCGTCTCCTAAGGGCATTATTATAAGAGAATGAAGGCCGTCGATCCTATTCTTCGTCCGCGTACTTCCCGGCTTGTGGAGTGTGCGGGTCGAGGGCAGATCAGGTTAGAAGTTGCTCCGTTGTTCTTCTGTGCAGCATAACCTGATTGGGAAGTTATTTTTTCCGGGTGCAACATTGGTGGCAAGTTTATGTTGTGATGTTTAGTTATTTTTTTTATAGGGGTTTATGCATTCTTTGTTGTATGTTTCTGTTTATTGTGTAATGCTTTATTAGGTTTTGAATTTCTTCGTTCTCTTTCAGATGTGGACGATCATCTTAATAGCGTCGTTTGCCGTGCTTGGGGCGTCTGCGGATGTCGGGCCAGAGGTAAGATATATATATATATATATATATATATTATATATATATATATATATATATACATAGAGAGAGATAGAGATTGATAGATAGAGAGAGAGAAGAAAAAAGGAGGGGGAGAAGGAGGAGAGAAGGAGAGAGAGAGAAGGAGAGAGAGAGAAGGGAGAGAGAGAGAAGGAGAGAGAGAGAAGGAGAGAGAGAGAGAAGGAGAGAGAGAGAAGGAGAGAGAGAGAAGGAGAGAGAGAGAAGGAGAGAGAGAGAAGAGAGAGAGAGAAGGAGAAGAGAGAGAGAGGAGAGAGAGAAGGAGAGAGAGAAGGAAGAGAGAGAGAGAGGAGAGAGGAGAGAGAGAGAAGGAGAGAGAGAGAGGAGAGAGAGGAGAAGGAGAAGGAGAGAAGGAGAGAGAGGAGAGAGGAGAGAGAGAAGGAGAGAGAGAGAGAGAGAGAAGAGAGAGAGAAGGAGAGAGAGAAGGAGAGAGAGAGAGAGAGAAGGAGAGAGAGAGAGAGAGAGAGAGAGAGAGAGAGAGAGAGAGAGAGAGAGAGAGAGAGAGAGAGAGAAGAGAGAGAGAGAGAGAGAGAGAGAGAGAGAGAGAGGAGAGAGAGAGAGAGAGAGAGAGAGAGAGAGAGGAGAGAGAGAGAGAGAGAGGAGGAGAGAGAGGAGGAGAGATGGATGGATGATGGATGGATGGATGGATGGATGGAATGGATGGATGGATGGAGGGAGGGAGGAGGGAGAGGGGAGAGGGGAGAGGGAGAGGGGAGGGGAGAGGGAGAGAGGAGAGGAGAGAGGGAGAGAGGGAGAGAGAGAGAGGGAGAGAGAGAGAGAGAGAGAGAGAGAGAGAGAGAGAGAGAGAGAGAGAGAGAGAGAGAGAGAGAGAGAGAGAGAGAGAGAGAGAGAGAGAGAGAGAGAGAGGCTCCTTGGCAACAGTACCGCAAGCTCCCTCCCCCCATGCCTAACCTCATCATGCAGGAGCGCCTTCTCTTGTCACTTGCCCTAACACGTGATTGCATGAAAAATGCATTTTGCGCTGCAGAACGCATTTTACAGTCGTCTGCTTAAGAAATTATGAAATCCACTCTTTGAAGCACAAAATCCTTTACTAAGAAATAATACCTTAAAAATCAACTGGTACCCTCCACCCCCCAAAAAGAAAGAAAGAAAAAGAAAAAAAAAAAACTGGAACTGAAGCCCTTAAGAATACCTTCGTGAAGATTCTTAAGAAATAATGTGCGTTACACATGATGGCGACATACATATATCGAATAACAGTGTGATGCGACCCAACAGCCATTAGTGATTTTGACTTGAATATATGCTCACTGATGGGAATACATATGTACTTTTCTTATTTCTTTGCATTGTGATAGAATATACGTTGATTGGCAGGTTTTGGTTGAGGCGGAGGCCAAGAGCCGCGTGGCGAGAGCTCTGGACGAGGCCAACCTCAAGCACAGCGTTGAAGTCCCGGATGTCCTGGCGTTGGTGGAGGAGGAGAGGGCGCACATGCAGGCGAAGAGGAGGAAGAAGCGCGAGTCAGGTGAGGCGGGCGAGCGGGGGCGGCGCTCGTGCTCACGGGCCGACGATTCGGGCTGCGGTTAACTGAATTTTCAGTGGCATTTGAGACACGCAAAGGAACTCACGTGTCACTTTACTTTGCATACACACACGAACGCATACTCGCACACGCACGCACGCACACGCACCTGCACACGCACGCATGCACACGCACATGCACACGCACGCACGCACACGCACGCACGCACATGCACACGAACGCATGCACGCACGCACGCACGCACGCACGCACGCACGCACGCACGCACGCACACGCACACGCACGCACACACACACACACACACACACACACACACACACACACACACACACACACACACACACACACACACACACACACACACACACCTGTATGTATATAGATAGATAGATACACACATACATATATGCACACACACACACACACACACACACACACACACAACACACACACACACACATATATATATATATATATATATATATATATATATATATATATATATATATATATGTGTTGTGTGTGTGTGTGTGTGTGTGTGTGCGTGTGTGTGTTTGTGTGCGTGTATGTGTGTGTGTTTATGCATGTAAATGGATAGATAGATAAATAGATAAATAGATACATACATACGTATGTACAAACATATAACATACCAACACACACACACACACACGAACACACACACAAACACACACACACACCAGTATATTTATGCATGTATACATATGTGTATGCATATGTACATACACACATTACAATGTGAAATAAGAGAGGAAGAGAAAGCAACAAATTCATATATTTTATGTAAATTACCGGATGTATTTTTCTCTTAAAAGGATATTACAGTTCCGTTCGGCACACAGTTAGACACCAGTGTGCCAATGCAAAAATAAATATATTTTTTTCAATTCCAATAAATGCCTAAATGTGACTGAAATATTTCTGACTATTATATAACAGCGGAAGGCGTGACCATACAACACAACTCCACCAATTTCCGTCAGTAAACTATATCCTCTTCGTCTACAGAGCAAATGGACTGGACGTCATTCCATGACCTGGAAGACATCGAGCGCTTCGAGGAATGGCTCAACTCCACCGCGGGCAACCTCGTGCAGATGGCGACGGTGGCCAGGACTCTTGAGGGCCGCGAGGTCAGGCTCGTGAGGATCACCGACCCTACCACGCCAGGACCCAAGAAGAAGATCTGGATCGAGGGAGGCGAGTGTCGGCGCTCGAGTCTGGCCGCAGGCACTGGGATGGGGGACTCGCGTCTCATTGGATCTACTTTTATATTTACTTATTGTTTCATTTACTTGCGTATATATAGCTATCTATAGTAAGGCATTATTGACAATAGAGGGAGTTTTTTTTATGTAGTAAATATAGAATAAGAAATCAATGCATCTAACTGTGATAAATACGTCCTCAGGTATCCATGCCAGGGAATGGATCTCCCCCGCCGTGACCACGTACCTGATGCATCAGGTGGCAGTCAGTCCTGAGTGGCGGGACATCTTGAAGGTCACTGAGTGGTACTTCGTGCCCGTCGCCAACCCCGACGGCTACGCCTACTCCTTTTCGTCACCCAGAGCAAGGTAGTTGCACTATAGGCACGTCCGGTGTGCCAGTGTTAACTGCTGGCCAAAAACGACTAGCTATTGACCATGTATCAGTTTGGTATACAATATTTGTTGTCAGTGTATCGAATCCAAATATTTGCAGATAATTATCAATTTTGTAACGTGAATTGAGTACATATGGTTCATTTCACGCTTTCTCCCGAACAGACTTTGGCGGAAGAACCGCAGCCAAAACGGCCCGAGCGCTCGCTGCAAGGGCGTCGATCTCAACCGAAACTGGAACCTCAAGTGGGGCGTTGGGGCATCCGGCAACCCTTGTAGCGAGACATTCAAAGGAAAAGAGCCTTTCAGCGAGCCGGAGACGGTTGGCCTCGGCAGAGCAATGCAGAGTGTGAGGGACATCGACGTCTTCATCACTTTCCACAGTTTCGGGCAGACGGTGCTGTACCCTTGGGGCTGGACGAGGGACCCGCCCGCCAATGTCAAGCAACTCAGCCGCCTGGCGAGGAAGTTCAACGAGGGCGTCAAGGCCGCTTCAGGAGGCAGAACTGAATACGAGATCGGGGGTTCAGGGCCTCTGTACGGCCTGGCCTCCGGGGCCTCTGACGACTGGGCCTACGGCGCTATGCAAGTCCCTTTTTCGTACACGATAGAGCTCCCCGACACTGGCTCGCATGGCTTCTTGTTGCCCGAGAGTGAGGTGAGCAGAGTCGTGTTCGAGACCAGCTCCGGGATGCACTGCATGATCGGCTTCCTTACGAACATCGGGCCCTGCGCTCGCCACGCCGGCAACCGCTCCAAGTCGGTGGGGTTTCGGGGCTTTCGGGGGTGAGCGGAGCGCCGTCCTGCGCCCACCTGTCACTCTTGGCACAAGCGATGATCCTCATGTACCTGTGTAAATGAACGTTTCCTCCCTGTCTGTCAACTGCCAGGAGCTTGAGGGGGAACTATGCACCGAAACTCTAGCCTTCTTGATCAAGCAAGGCCGGTCAACAGTGATCTTACAAACGAGTGCATTCTTTGGGATGTATTCTGTAGCATTGCGGGTGGGAAATGTTATACACATAACGTTGGTTTACAAGTTGAACGAGGAATTATAGCAAAAGAAAAAATTATAACAAAGAAAATCTAGTCTCCGATGTTATTTTTGTTGACAAAAGCGGCGACAACAGGCCGTCTTATATGTTGTGTATTGGCTTTGTTTGAATACTTGACTTATGTTCTCGTTTGGGATGCGAAACACTGGTGTGGGTTCATTTAATCATCACAATATTTATGATACAATGCTGCTGTTAGATTTATTTGTCTTATTTAAATATTTAAAGAACCGTTTGTTGGCACACTTGAATAATTTAAGTTATGCATTTACATTCTATAGCATAACACACACACACACACACACACACACACACACACACACACACACACACACACACACACACACACACACACACACACACACACACACACACACACACACACACACTCACTCACACA